GGGCTGCCGCAGACGCGGAGGCGCGCTGCGCGACTCGCGCCCGGGAGCCGGCCAGCGTGCGGGGAGCCGCGGTCCAGCAGCCCCGGGGACCCGGTGCGGGCGGGTGCCGGGCCCCGCAGCGGCTTCCTCTTCCAGGGCCCGCAGGAGCGCAAGGAAGGGCTTTTCCCGAGGGGCGGCAAACCGACGCGCACGCCACTTGCGCGGCTCTTGAACCCGGGCCTGCCTGATCGCGCCCGTGCCCCGGCTGCTGCACGGGGTCTGGGACCCACTCGCGGCTTGGCCCAGCCGCTGGGCGCGTCCGGAGGCCCGAACCGTCTCATTTCCGCCTTCCTGGGGAGACTCGGCAGCCCCGGAGGAAGTGGCCTTCAGGCCAGCCCGGTGGAAGCCCCAGCTACCCCGAGGCGGCCCTGCCCGAGGGGCGCTCTGGACCGAGGCTGCTTCGCACTGCCCGCTGCCCCTCCGGGCGGCCTCCCCTCCTGGCCCCCTGCGACAAGCGCAGCCGCATCGCTCTCCGGAAGAAGAGCCAAGAAAGCCAGGCAGGGACCCAGAAAACGCCACTTGGGAAGGTGAGGGCGCGTGGGATGCTCCTCCGCCGCACTGTCACAGCCGTCGCGCCGCATCGACGTCTTCCGGGCGCCGCTGGCACTTGCCGAGCCCGGATCGCCGGCCAGTCGAGAGGCAGAGCTCACCGTCTCGGTTTGCTTCAGAGCAAAGGTTAACTGTGCCTCCCCTCGCAGGCTCGTGTCTGCCCGAGGAGGGGGGCGTCCTTGGCCGTGCCGCTCGCTCGTCCTGAAAGGTGGGCATGGCCACACCTACGTGCCCCGAAGCCGCTGGTCGCAGAGGCCGCCGGGCCTTGAGCGGTGCGACCTGCAACGAGCGAGCGAAGCAGCCTCCCCACCGCCCCACCACGACTCCCACCTCCCCCTCCTCAGGGAGCAAGAGCGGGATCCGTGGAGGGAGCTGGTGCCACGCATACGGCCATATGGCCCGGTCACTTTTTCCAGGGGACGCTGCTGTGGGGAGAGGGGTGGAGTCCTGAGGAGACACGGCTGCTTGCACAAGCCCCAGCCTCCTCGTCCCCGGGAGCAGGGGTCCCGGCGCCCATCCTCCACCCGCAGCCACGGAAGCGGTGACCCCCGAGGGCCATGCAGCTGACTCGGTGGCACGGCTGGCTAGGCGCTTCTCACCTGGAGCCCCCACCGCCCTGTTCTTGGCTGGTTGCGGATGCCGTTTGCTGCTTCACCCACCTCCCTTGAGCCCCCACTCCAGCCTGACCGTTTCCAGGGAGGGGGCCAAGACCCCTCCGTCCTTCTTATGCAGAAGCAAATCCAGCCTCGCAAAGGGCCCTTCCGATGTTAATTCAAAGCTCGTTTGCTGACAGTGCCTCAGTGGAGTCGCCCCTTGAGCAGGCCCCCTGGGCACAGATGGGCATCGTCTCGGGGGTCCCGGCCTTCGCCAGAGCTCCACCACGGAGGCTCCCTTACCGCAGCAGCAAGCCCCCCGCCCCACCCCCCTCACCGCTGGCCCGGGAGGAACTGCCAGCTGCCGCGTTCGGCCAGGTCAAGGAGGGGCCGGGGCCGGAGTGCCCCCTGCTCAGCTCCTGCCCTACAATCCCGCGCTGCTCCCCACGGGCAGGACTGTGCAGCCAAGTATTCCCCGCCAGGCGACTGCGTTTGGTCCCCTTTTCCCGGGTGCGGCACTTGGCACTTGGCACGAAGGAATTCCATCCCGCGGTTTCCGGCCAGCGCTCCAGCGTGGCAAGAGCCCCGATCCGTGAATGCGAATCTCCCCTCCGTCTTGCGGGCACTGGGCATCCTGGCCAGGGTTCCATAAAGGGCAGAATCCTTTGGCAGGAACTGGTTTGAGGACGGGCAGTGGATCCGCAAGGAGTCTGCAAGTGTGTGTGTGTGTGTGTGTGCACGCGCGCATGGGGGAGGGGGAGGATGGGGGGAGAAAGATGTTACCCCCCAGCCATTCTGTGTTAATGCAGGCTGGCACTTCTCCCCCCCCCAGTCAAAGTCACCACGCTGACCCGGTGCTGGTGCTCGGTGACCGTGCGCTGAACCCCACGCAGCTGCCCCTGCACAGTTGCCCGAGGCGGCTCGCCCCCCGCCCCCGCTCCCACCCCCAGGCAGCCCCAGGGCATTGGAAGATCGGGGCAGCCGGCTGCAGGAGGATCCTGGCCCAGCACCCACGCGGAAGGGCTTCCACGAAGCCTCTCCGAGAAGCACCGCCCCCACCTCACGCGCGGGTGGACATGTCCCAGCCACTGGGGCTGCCCGTGCCCGACAGCGGCGTGCCAACGGGGCTCGTCCGTGCACATGGACTGCTGTGGCTGCGCGGATGGAGCACGTGCCCGGAGCCTGCGGGGGACGGGTCTGCCTGCAGCCACCAGCTCAGGGGCCTGCTTTCGGGTGCCCAGCTGGCTCGAGGATGGGATGCCCAGCCTCTTCCGGCCTGGGGCCAAATTCCATCGCAGAGAAGCTCTTGGGGCCGCCGTTCCAGAGCGGGGCAGAGCTGAGGGAGGAGGATGGGCAAAGTGCCTGCCAGTTTGTGCTCAGAGTTCCTTCTGCAGGAGCAGGTCCCTGCCTTTTGGAACGGGCGGGTGTGAGCAGGAATTGGGGGAAAGCCAGCCAGCCAGCCAGCCAAGGATGTGTGATAGGGGAGCGGGAGGAGCCACCTGGGAAAGCGGGGGGGCCTCAGGTTCCCCATCCCTTCTGCACATGCTCTTAAGCTGATGATCCTGTTTGGCCACGGTCTGAACTCTGCGTGTGGCCACGGGAACGTGTGGCTGGCTGGGCTCAGGCAGTACAACAGGCGGTGTGGTTTCGCTGCCAGTATCGGGGTGCCGTGTTGTCTGAACCCAGTCATGCTATTTCACCATGGTCAGTTTGGCCTTTAGAAACCCATGGCGGGCAAGAACAGGTTGCTTGAGGGCTTCTCTCGACCCTGAGCCGCTGGCCCCCGTGGAGCAGCTCTGGCTGAGCCCTCTCCCGGAACTGTGAGCTTGGGCGCCTCTGCCACGGAGGACTGGGGGCTGCGGTGCCAGTCCGAGCCCCGCCGCTGCATCTCCCGAAAGCACAGGCCACCTTGTCCAGGTGAGGGCAGGACCCCTTGTCTGCCAGCACCGCCGGATGCAGCGAAAGAGCGCGATGCCACCCCGTCCCTGGCCCCAGCACGGAATCGGCGTGCTCCCTCTGAACCTCTTCGATAAGAAGCTATTTCATTTCTGCCCTGCCTGGAGGGGAAGCTCTCTGGGCAGTTTAGGACAAAGTATAAAAACAATAAAATACATTAGATAAAAGCACGGACAAGAATTTAAGAATTGATTTGAAGTAGCATAAAAACATTAAAAGGCAACAAAAAAGACTCGGATGAGAATAAAAGAAAGGCGCCCGGCTAATTGTGCCAGGCCCCCGACTGGCCAAACTCAACCTGGCGCCAGAGGGATGGCGCGTTTGGGGCCAGGCGGGCGCAGCAGGAAGGCTGTTCCAGAGATGGGGGCCGCCACAGAAAAGGCCCTCCCCTGGCTGCCACCCTCCGAGCCTTCCGAGGGTTTGTCACCGGCAGAACGGCCCCGGCAGTGAGGTGGGTGAGGCTTGGGAGAGGCACTCCGACTGGGGTGGGGGTCCCAAGAGGCCAGCGCTGCCACCGTCCTCCTGAGCACGGCTGAGTCATCTCCAGGGCCTCCGGTGCCACCTCTGTGGGAAGGGGCTGGCCCAGCAGCACAGGCTCTCCGGCTGCAAAGTTCCCCTCCCCTGCCCCCCCCCCCCATCGCTCCTGGAGTTGCAGATTGCAGGAGAGACCCAGAAGGGTCACACAAAGCCTCAGCTCAGGAGACCCACCCGTGCTGGGGCGGAGGGCCCTGCGTGGGGGCGAGTGGCCGCCGGGGCAGACTGGGCCAGGGCCGGGGCCTGGGCCGCTCAGCGCCAGCCCGCCCGTGGCGTCCTCCCTCTGCCACCGAAGGGCGGCTCAGCGTGGCACAGTGGCGGGCGGTCGCCTGCCCGGGGGGTGCTTCCCTCGCCTGCGCCCGCACTGGCTCGCCCGTGTGGGCCGGGTCCCCCTCGCACCCTCCTCCCCGGCGAGCCCCCCATTGCTTTGCGCGCAGGCCTGGTTTGGCGCTCTGGGGCTGGCCGGCGAGCAGGGGCCCGGCGGCCTTGGCTGGACGCAGCCCAGGTTTGCGCCCTCAGGCAGCCCCTCCCGGGTCACCGGGCGACGTCCAGTCCACCGCGGGTGGGCGACCCCCTGGCCCTCCACGGGCGGGGCGGGGCGGGGCGGGGGGGTGCATTCGGCGGAGGGGACGCCGGGGCCAGGTTCGCCGGGCGCATGCCAGGAGACGCGGGCCGATGCGGGCGCCCTTCCTTATGCATCCGTGCCCTAACGCGGCCTGACACGGAGGCTGCATTTGGTACCTCACACATAAGCGATCTGAACTATTTTAGCTGATGATAATTTGCTCTGTGTTTGGACACAGTTCATGGCTCGGTCAGCCCTGCCTGATACCATCTCCCCGTTTGTTCCAGTAAAGGTTTCCCTGTCAGTTCTGCTCA